AGGGGACCCCAATCCTGAGCCAGGGGACCCCAATCCTGAGCCAGGGGTCTCCAATCTCGGCCAGTAGGACCCCAATTCTGATCACGGGCACCCCAATCCCAGGCCAAGGAACCCCACTCCCACTTCGGGGACCCCAATCCTGAGCCAGGGGACCCCAATCTCGACCAGCAGGACCCCAATTCTGATCACGGGCACCCCAATCCCGGGCCAAGTCCCCCCAATATCGGCAGGGGGGACCCCAGTCCTGACCATGGGCACACCAGTCCCGGGCCAAGGGACCCCAGTGCCGGGCTGGGAAGGGGGTGGGGGCAGCCCCAGGGTGGTCCCGGTGCCCCTCCCTCCGTGCCCAGACAAAGCCCCGCGGGCGGCTGCAGCTGTATGGAAATGCCGGGAACACCGGGAACACCCAGATGGGCCCCCCACGCCGAGTCCCCCCGCCGGCGTCCCCATCTGTCGCCCCTCCGCCACATCTGCCGGGAGCCGCCGAAGCCACCGGGGTCACAACTCCCGCCCCCGGGGGCTTTCTGACCCCCCGGGAGGAGATTTGGGGGGCTCACGGCCCCCCAGCCAGGCGGGGATAGGGCAATGGGGACCTCCCCGGGGGGGGAACACACTCACACATCATCCAGCGCCGCGGGGTCCTGCGGGGGGGGCGAGTCCGGCCCCGAACCTGCGGGGACACCAGTCCGGCACTGGGAGCACCAGTTCGGGCTGGGCTGTCCCCTCCGGGTCAGCCCTTTGCCCACGAGCCCCCCCGGAGGGGTGACTCGAGGGGGGGTTCCCAGCTCCCGTGGGCACCTCAAAGAGTCCCCCCACCTCAACCCCCTTCCCAAGCCCCCTCCCCACATGTAGGGACCTCCTGACCCCCCCCCAGCTCCCGGGGGGATGTTGGGGGGGGGGTGGCAGCGCCCCTCACTCACCCGCATCCGAGGACTCGGAGGAGACGGAATCCCGGGGGAGATCCCGGGGGGAGCCCCGGGAGGGCTCCGAGACCCCTGGCCCGGGGGGGCACACGGGGGACCGCAGCCCCGGGGGGGGCACCCGCCGCTTCGGGGTGTCCCAGTGGCTGTTAGAGGTTGGGGGGTGGGGGGGTCAGAGCCTCGGGGTGCCCCTCGCCCCCTCCCCTGGAGGAGACCGGGGGAGGGGTCCCCAAAACCACCCGAGCGCGGTTCGGGGGTGGGACCCTGCGCGGGGGGGGGCAGCCCGTGTCCCGCATCCCGGACCCACAGCCCCCCTCCCCGCCCCTCTGCAACCCCCTCCCGAGCCCCCCAGACCCCCCAGACCCCCTGACCTGCCCAGCCCCGCCAGGTTGTCCATGTCCAGCGCCAGCGTGGTGACCGGGGACACCCCCGGGGACACCCCCGGCGACACCCCCGGCAGCGCGGAACGCCCGCGGCCGGCCCTGCCCGCCATGGGTGCGCAGGGGAGGGTGTGCGGAGCCTCTCTGTGGCCGCTCCGTGTCGCGCTATGTCGCGACAGACGCGCCGCCCCCGCTCCGGGAGCGCGGCGATATCGCCCCCCCCCAACCCCCTTCCCGCCGCCAGGGGGCGCCAAGCCCCGCGGTGGTTATTTATATTCGAAAAAAATAACGGCGGCGGCGGCCAATGGGAGCGAGGGGGCGTGGTTAAAGGGCGTGGCTAGAGGCGGGATCAGCCAATGGGAGAGGATAGAGAGTCTCCGGGGCGGGGTCGGGCTGCTCGGGGGCGGGGGCAGATGATGGGCGGGCGCGGCGGCCAATGGGAGGTGGCGGTGTGTCGGAGGGGGCGGGGTCACGGCTCGGGAGCGGGGACAAGGGATGGGGGATAAATTTGGGGGGCGCGGAGG